GTCTTTAATTTTATATTATGTAAATTACATATGGCTGCAGCTATTAGAGGAGACAATTTAAAAGCTGAATGGCCCACTTACTTGAATCCTTAGCACTTAAAACATTTCTGCAAATAATAATACTGCCTTGCACATCCAGAAAGAATTTTGCTTTCCAACTATTTTCACACCTATCATTTGTTTATACTTTGTATATTCTTGAAAGAGAGATGGGTCACAAGGGTACTACCTCTATCTCATTATAGAGAAGACTGATCTCCAGTGAGATTAAATGATATTTAAAGGTCCCACATCTAGAGCCCTATCTTTCAGTTCTCCAAATGAAAACCTCACCAGCTCCACAGAATCAATGTAAATTTAATATGGCATTCCTTAGCCTGGCAAGTAGCGTTTGGTAGAACTGTGGAGTTTTTCTCCAAATATTTCATGGACCCATCCACTCCTCTCCATCTCTATCGTCACCTTGATTGATGTTCTCCATACTTCAACAGGCGCAAAGTTGGTCTTCCTTCTTCCATTCATGAGTTTTAAAAAATGAGCTTTTTGTATGTAAATCACATGCCAAAAGCCTCCTCAATAAAAGCTAAGTGACTTTCTCATGGTCACACAACTAGTCAAATGCATAGCCTGGAAAAAACCCATCTCTTCTGACTATTAGATTCCTGAATGAAAATATAAACTTCTGAAAGGTATATACTATGATGCATCACTGCAGAAACTAGCAAAGTATCTTAAGCATAATAGGTTCATCAGTAAATACTTTGATTAAATACCACCATAAGACCTTGATTAAATCAAGGTCAAGACTGAGACTAGCATCTTATTAAATCATCAATGCCTTGCCCTAGTGATATTGTGGTTATTATGAGATCAGCAAATATTAAAATATCTACAGGCTACATTTTGAGTTGCTTTCCCAGGTGCAGTTTTAAACTTGCAATCACAGGGGCAGCTTCTTAATGCAATTTCTATTTATATAATTTCCTAGTATATTTAGGCAAACCTCTTTGAATAGAGACATTGTGAATATATAGAAGTGAAAGCAGACTTTTAGCTTTAACATTACTTCATTGATGTTCTAAGGCCGAAAAACCCCTTCAGCAATAAGGGTCCTCAGCTAGATAAGCCACTGTGTCACAGAAGGCCCCCAAACTGATCTTCCTCCATACCAGCCAGCTTCTGCCAGGCAATTCAAGAAGACAGTGCTTAAAAGGACTTGCAAGTTTGACAAAAAAAGTTGGAGAAATTGATTGGTATTTAGAGTTTAGTGGTCTCCTCTGGGTATTCCTGGATTTCTGTGACTGATTTTGATGAAGTGCTTTTATTTGTCTCCCTACCCAGAGACTGCAGATGAATTTGCAACAGAGCAGCATGCCTCCTGTTTAGCTTTGTCAGGCACCACTTAGACATGTTATAATTTATTTTCCAGGAAAAATATTTCTCATGAGGGCTTCTGGCTAACACAGTTATAAAAGCAGCTGGCTACCGTTCAGCCTGTTGTCTGCTGGCAGCTGGGCTTCCCTGTACAGGCTGAAAAGAAACATAACTGGAGGGGAAAGTTGTGGAATATGGGGGCCGGGACCAAACACCCTACTTATGTAGGCCTGAGTCTCCTCTTCCTGACTGCTCTGGGTGTTTAACAACTTTGTAAGCATCCTATTAAGCCTGGCAGGGAGTGCTGTTATTTCTTGTGTGTGTGTGTGTGTGTGTGTGTGTGTAGCGGAGTCGTATCTTAAACAGGCTTTGGCTTGTTTTTGTCATTATGCAGACTAGATACTGCCCTTGAAAATACATTAACTCACCCAGCTAAATTTTTTCTAACATAGAACTTTCCAGATAGAGCTTCAGATAATTACTTTTAGAGCAACATATTTTAAAAAGCTTCAACACTGAATTCACACACTTTGTGAGGAAATGTTCATATTATTAGAGGTACGGAGAAACTGAGATGAACTGATATTAATGTTCCTTGATATACCCTCACTCTGAGGCACGTGCTGCCTCAGTGAAATAGTCAGCAAAATTCCTAAAGGATTTAACTTATTTTTTTCTTTTTGACTAGTGCAGAAACCATGTATCATCAAGTCTCAGACATTGTCAATTATAATACAGTGTTTCTTATGTACCACTGAGAAGTTAAAACTTCTGCCACATAAATAATATCATGTTTTTTATCACGTTGAATTTGTCACTTTTAATTGAAAGAACTCTTTTAGATTAATCCGCACTTAGATTTTTATCATAGCACTCTTATACACAAAAAGGAAAATTTAATGTAAACAATCGTTTTAAGAAATTCTTAAAATTTCTTCACCCCGTATCCAATTATTCCGAATCATTCTTCAACTCTGAGCCATCAGTGGCTGAATTTTCTTACAGGGTATCATCCTGTGCCACCAAATTCACTGGTAATGAAATATTTTCTTAAAAGTGCCCCCCACTCCCCACCAGTATTGCCTCCAGGAATTTTTTCCAAATTTGCTGACACCTATTATGTAAAAATTGATGCTTCTGTTTTCTTACTTGTACCTGAAGGTGTCAACAGAAAATTCTCAGATAACAACTAGGTCTTACATTATTTCTTCATTTTATCTGCAAATGGCTTATTCACTGAAACGTCAACAGTTGTCCAGTCATGCCTCCAGGAAAAACAAAGTCTATGAACGCACAGGCAATAAAAATTATATCCCGATTTTAAGATATCATTGATCATGATGGGGTTAAGGGTAGGCTGCCCCAAAATATGACAAAGTGGCATATTGATTATTTTGAATTAAAGTTACTTAGGGAACAGCCAGTGCAGGAAGGACACTCTGACCCTCCACTCTGTCACCCTGAAAGCAGGAAATAAATCTCCCAGGTACCATCCCTGTACTAGGAGGTAGAGAGACATCCTTATCACCAGATATAGGGAGTTCAGGGTCGAGAAGGCTGTGTAAATAAACTCTGCATATTTTGTCCCCTAACTAGTACACAAGCCTAAGTTTCTTTGTCTTGTCAGTGCTCACAAATTTATTGTTTCTTTGTGTAACAGGTATATAAACAACCTGCTTTTGTTGCTTCTTGGGTCCTAAACCTGTGAGACCTCTGTACGTATTAAATTAAATTTTTTCACTGTTAATCTATCTTGTATCAATTTAATTATTAGATCAGTCAAAAGAACCAAGAGGTTTAGGGGAAAAATTTCCCCTGCCAACAACTGTAGGGTACATCCATATTTTCAAGATGTTAAAATATGGAAAATATGTATCTTAGATTTTAAAATATATGTAGAGGATGAATAGGCTGTGTGTATATAGCAATTCCACTGTGAGAAACAATGTAGAGAAATTTCAGAGGGAAGAAGCTTATAATAGTTTGGAGTTGATTATTGTCATCATCAGAATCACCCAGGGACCTAAAAATATGGGCAATCCAACCATCTAGGAAGTAAGGACAGGGCATCAACATTTTTAATAACCAGCCCTGGGATGCTGATGTAGTCAGATTAGGGGAACACTTCTGTGGAAAGCCCGGGTTTCACTGGCTGTGTCTTGATGGCCATCACACACTTTACACAGAATGATCAGATAGCCAGGTTTTCCTGGGATGGTCCTGGTCTATGCCTCTTGTCTTACCATGATTGTTATCAGCGTACACTTTTAACAGTGTCCAATTTGGGGGTATTTTATAAGGTCATCTAATTTTATGTTAATGGGCAAAAGATGTATGATCACAACCAAAAGAAACTGTTTATGTGACCTTGCTGTGAAATGTAAACAGACTCTTTGTTTAACGGCAGTTGAAACCCCACCGGTGAATTCACTATCAGGCCACTGGCTAAGAGTCCATGTTCTGAGAATTTGTCATCAAGAAAGGAAACAAAACAAAAACAACAAACAAAAACCTCTTAAGATAAATAATCTTTGCTTTGAAGACTATAAGGCCCAAACAAATCAGGACCATCTCTAACACAGCTAACTCTAGAATTACATTTGGGGAGTGTGTGGGATTTTTGACTGTGCACCTTTCACTGTTCTCATATTTATTGTTCAGAGGCTAAAATCACACCACCAGAAGTGACAGTCTCTTGTCAGATTGTGTCTGCCATTGCACTGAGGCCACTTTGGGGAATTTTCTAGATGATATGTTGAGTTATCGCCTTTGGTATGGCATTCATAGTGAAATCTTCCAGCAGAGCCTCTTCCCTGATCTCAGTTTAACATTAAAATGGCACAAGAGCAAACCTTCACCTCAAAGACAGCATCAGTTCATTCCATGGAAATGAAGGGACAATTTTTAGTAAGAGCACTATCTGTACAGAGAGGAAGTAAGTTCTTTCCAACTGAATCAAAAGAGCTAAAGAGATGTAAGTTTCAGAATATCTGTGGGTCAGTTCAGAAGAACTATTCAGGAGAATTACAGAATTTCTGTACTTGTGAATTACGTGATGAAACAGAGTTTGTGAACAAATTGTCATTTAATAGTAGATATCATTTAACCTCTATTAGACAATTATTTTGGAAATACATGAAAGCAATTTCTGCTTAGATGAGGGTGATAACTGTTTTAACCATACAAATCATTTGGTAACCCACATGTTGTGCATTAGAGAATAATGAAATATTAAAAGCACTTGTTCTGTGTCTGCCTCCTTTGGCTGACATAGGACTAGTGGTTGAAAGTTATGAGTAAATAGATTTTGGATCCGTATGATGATGGAATTTCTAGCATTTATAACTCGTCAGAGTTGTTAGAATAATTTTCTTGTTTGGAGGTGAGGTCCCCATCTTTGGAGGAATTTGATCTAGAACAAAATTCTTAAAAGTGTGACGTGTGTACATCAGCTGCTATGGTCTGAATATGGCGTGCCACCCAAAATTCCTATGTTGAAATCCTAAGCCCCAAAGATTATGGTATTAGGAGGTGGAGCATTGGGGAGGTACTTAGGTCATGAGAGCGGAATCATCATGAATGAGATTAGCGTTTTTATAGAAAAGACCTCACAGAGATCCCTAGACCTTCCACCATGTAAAGACACTGCATAACGGTGCTGACGAAGGACAAGGAAGGGGGCCTTCACCAGAGTGTGACCATGCTGGTGCCTCGATCTTGGACTTCCCAGCTTCCAGAACTTGTGAGAAACAGATATCTGTTGTTTATAAGCCACCCAGCCCATGGTATTTTGTTATACAACCTGATCAGACTAAGACACCACAAGATGTGCAAACATTTGCTGGTGAGTACAAAGAAAATATTAGAGAATATAATCCAAAAATCTTTTAAAGGTTTTAGTAATATCGAATATGTGGAATGACTCTGGTCTTTCATCAGGTCTGCAGGGCAGACCATAGGGTTTGATGTACTGTGATGCTATCCTGAGGGAAGTGTAAAGTTCTACAGGAGACTGGTGGAAACACCCTCACTCTTTTGTTCATTTTCCTCATATTGAAACACAGATGTTTATGTAAGCCATGCTAAATGAATTTATGAACTATGTTCTAAAGTTCTGAACAAAGTAACTTCCCTAAACTGATGGTATAGTTTTAAAAGATTACTGCACATAAACCACAAATTTAATACTAATAATCTAAGCCCAAGTAGGCAACAAAAACATGGGTAAGCCAACACTCGGTCTACTGTTCATTAACAACACACTTTTCCTTAACCACAATACTAGGTTTAAAAAAATCATCAGGTCTAATAAGAAATTGGTGAAAATTTTGGAATTTTCTAGGGGTCATTGGAAATATAGATGAAATTTGCTTCATCAGTGTTTATGTTGTCTTGAGATATGAGTATTAATGTTAAAATAAAGCCATCACAATTAGCAAGATTTTTTTTTTTTTGCGGTATGCGGGCCTCTCACTGTTGTGGTCTCTCACTGTTGTGGTCTCTCCTGTTGCAGAGCACAGGCTCCAGACACGCAGGCTCAGCAGCCATGGCTCACGGGCCCAGCCGCTCCGCAGCATGTGGGATCCTTCCGGACCAGGGCACGAACCCGTGTCCCCTGCGTCGGCAGGTGGACTCTCAACCACGGCGCCACCAGGGAAGCCCAGCAAGATATTTTTAAAGTAAGCATTCAGAGTCTCCTCTGAAGTCTTTTCCTTATGAAAGACAGAAATTTTCCCTTTGAGGAAACATTCGTTTTTCCTGACACAGTAAAAATGACTGAGATATTTTGTGGCAAATGATTTGGCAACGAATTAAAATGCATTATTTTGTTTGCAAATAGTGTTGTCACATGCATTGAAAATGTTGCTGAAACTATGAAGAAATACGTATTAGGACAAACTAAGTCATTTTTGTTATACAGCTGAATAAATAAAATACATTTTTCCAGCCTTTTTTTGGTTTACATATACATTTGCTAGATAGCATTTCACATATAAAAATAACAACTAAAGCAGCTAGAAAAGAAACAATGTATCCAAAAAGCATGTCCTCAACAGTAGTAAGTGAAGGGGAAAAAAGCTTTAAGTGGGGAAGAAAAATTTTAACTGCAAGGACAACCACTAATGGAGCAGTTTATCGGACTGGAATTGAGAGCAAGATAGACAGAAAAAGAGAGCTACTGTGGAGTAAAGCTGAAAAGCTATCACTACACTTGGAAATCCATTCAATAAGTCTTAGCAGGGAAGCTATTAAAGCAAATAAGTTGAAATTAGAATAATAACAGGTGCTACAGACAGTTCAAGGAGGATAACAATAACAATAACAAAGACATACTTTGAATGACAGAGAAGCTATGAGAATCTTTTGTATTAAGTGAGGTTCACTGGTCAGCTCACTGTAAAAATAAATAAATGAATAAATAAGTAAATCAAATGCAGAGTGTAAAAAAGTATTCACCTTTTTTTTAAAAAAACAGCTATTAAGAGAGACAAGGGCTTCCCTGGTGGTGCAGTGGTTGAGAATCTGCCTGCCAGTGCAGGGGACACGGGTTCGAGCTCTGGTCTGGGAAGATCCCACATGCCGCGGAGCAACTGGACCAGTGAGCCACAAATACTGAGCCTGCACGTATGGAGCCTGTGCTCCGCAACAAGAGAGGCCCATGCACCGCGATGAAGAGTGGCCCCCGCTCGCCGCAACTAGAGAAAGCTCTCGCACAGAAACGAAGACCCAACACAGCCAAAAATAAATAAATAAATAAATATATATATATATATTTTTTTTAAAAAAAGAAAGAAAACCATTTAATTTTTTTTATGATGGCTGGCTGTCAAAACTATGCAGCTTATAAAATAATTTTGAAAAATGACCACTTAATCTTTCCCTTTGAGTCACTTTCTGCTTTAACAGGGAGTGAGAAAATCACCATTATTAAAAAAACGTATACAAGGAAAAAGTATTTAGAAAACGAATGCTTGGAAGTGTTTTGATCATTTTGTGATTTTGTTACCAAATCAACTTTCATATGTGCACACTAAAAATGGAAACAGAATTTTCTAATCTATGCTCAAGAAAAAGTTTCAGCATATCTTGAACCCATGTGTTAAAATACACTGAATTATAAGCCTTTCCAATTTGTTTGAGAAAAACTGAGCTATATAACCAAACATAGAAATGTTACAGATAAAAATTCAATAAAAATCGTTCCATAATTAGTAGATGTGATTAAAAAGTATGCATCATGATTGAGTAATATAGTAAACACAACAAATCATGTACTTCTCCTTATACCTGTGTACTATTGAGAGTTACTATCTTTCAGTCACAAAAGTCATTAATATCACCTATAAAAATAAACTGAACTTAAAATCCAGATATTTGGTCACTGTAACATGGAGACTATATTCAGATTTTCAAAATATTTTTTAAAAAATCAATCATGTTATACTCAGTAAGAAGGTATTAATATTTTTACTGTGATAAAATAGTTTTTACACTTAATAAAAATATGTTTAAATATTTTTTAATATTTTTCATCTTTTTTCTTATTCTTAAATATAATTTACTTTATGTTTATTATTTTACTTCAGTAGCCTATACAATTGACACATTAGGAAATATATCTGACTATTAAATGCAAATTTCCTTATTGTCTTAAAGGATTTTAGGCTTAGACTCAAAAAAGCAGAAAAAAAATAGATTCCAGATCAGATATCTACACAAGATATGCTAAGAAATAAAGAAACCAGACTAGCAGCCATTGGCTCATTACTTAGGTGAAGAATGTATGAGGGGAAGGTAGGAAATCCATCAAGCAGACTGTAGAGAATTCTTTTAAGGAGGGACATATTGGAAGACTAGGGCATCTTCTCTGCCTTCCTCCATGTCCTTCTCTAATCAAACATAATCAGAGATTATGAGATTCCTCTAGACTGAGGAATATAGGGGCTCAGGTCAGAAAAATTCTGTAAGAGTGAGGCTGGCTAGAGAGACATGTGGTAGCCGAATGAAGATAGCATCCTCTTATAGGAATGAGTCACATTCCCACCATGGTAGACAAGATGTTTTGTCCCTCATGTCTTTGTTAGGGAGTCTTAAAATGGGCTTTACTCAAATGGGTTTCATGTAACTGTGAAGACTCTACTGGAAAGTAGGCACTGAGGGGAGGTCTAAGCAGACAGAGGGAGAACTGCCTTTATCAGCAAACTATACTTACAGAACCCTAGAGGTGGTAAGCTCCAGGGAACCTGCAAAAGTACTCCAAAAGACAAAAGATTCCATAATGTAGAAGTATTCTTCATCCAGAGAACCCTGGTAAAACTTACAATTCTCTCATGCAACACTTTGTCTGCCCTAATTTCACTTTGCTCTTCTGCCCATCCCTGGAGGACCAAGAATCAGCATAGTAGAGGAAGATGTGAAGAAGAATAAGTTGGGGGAAGAGGAGAGAAATTAACGGTGCCCCCAGTCCCTTTTCCCATTCTCACCGTTAGCTCAGCCAGCTCACTGCAGACTTTGAGTATAAGCTGGCCCAACCTGGTATAGAGGAAATTTAAGTTGGATGAGTATTAACACTATGAAACTATGATCTGGACTTTTTTTTTCCACCAAGCGATGCTATTGGTTTAAGATGAGATGGCTTTGAGGTAATAAAGCTGTCTGGAGATAGCCTCAGCGACCAGAGGGCAGACAGAAGCAGCAAGAAGAACTACAATCCTGCAGCCTGTGTAACAAAAACCACATTCACAGAAAGATAGACAAGATGAAAAGGCAGAGGCCTATGTACCAGATGAAGGAACAAGATAAAACCCCAGAAAAACAACTAAATGAAATGGACATAGGCAATCTTCCAGAAAAAGAATTCAGAATAACAATAGTGAAGATGATCCAGGACCTTGGAAGAAGAATGGAGGCAAAGATTGAGAAGATGCAAGAAATATTTAACAAAGATCTAGAAGAATTAAAGAACAAACAGAGATAAACAATACAATAACTGAAATGAAAAATACACTAGAAGGAATCAATAGCAGAATAACTGAGGCAGAAGAATGGATAAGTGACCTGGAAGACAGAATGGTGGAATTCACTGCTGTGGAACAGAATAAAGAAAAAAGAATGAAAAGAAATGAAGACAGCCTAAGAGACCTCTGGGACAACATTAAACACAACATTCACATTCTAGGGGTCCCAGAAGGAGAAGAGAGAGAGAAACGACCCGAGAAAATATTTGAAGAGACTATAGTCAAAAACTTCCCTAACATGGGAAAGGAAATAGCCACCCAAGTCCAGGAATTGCCGAGACTCCCATATAGGATAAACCCAAGGAGAAACATGCTGAGACACATAGTAATCAAATTGGCAAAAATTAAAGACAAAGAAAAATTATTGAAAGCAGCAAGGGAAAAATGACAAATAACATACAAGGGAACTCCCATAAGGTTAACAGCTGATTTCTCAGCAGAAACTCTACAAGTCAGAAGGGAGTGGCATGATATACTTAAAGTGATGAAAGGGAAGAGATTACAACCAAGATTACTCTACCCAGCAAGGACCTCATTCAGATTCGATGGAGAAATCAAAAGCTTTACAGATGAGCAAAAGCTAAGAGAATTCAGCACCACCAAACCAGCTCTACAACAGATGCTAAAGGAAATTCTCTAAGTGGGAAACACAAGAGAAGAAAAGGATCTACAAAACCAAACCCAAAACAATTAAGAAAATGGTCATAGGAACATACATATCGATAATTACCTTAAACTTGAATGGAATAAATGCTCCAACCAAAAGACACAGGCTTGCTGAATGGATACAAAAACAAGACCCATATATATGCTGTCTACAAGAGACCCACTTCAGACCTTGAGACACATACAGACTGAAAGTGAGGGGATGGAAACAGATATTCCATGCAAATGGAAATCAAAAGAAAGCTGGAGTAGCAATACTCATATCAGATAAAATAGACTTTAAAATAAAGAATGTTACAAGAGACAAGGAAGGACACTACATAATGATCAAGGGATCAATCCAAGAAGAAGATATAACAATTATAAATATATATGCACCCAACATAGGAGCACCTTAGTACATAAGGCAACTGCTAACAGTTCTAAAACAGTAACACAATAATAGGGGGGACTTTAACACTTCACTTACACCAATGGACAGATCATCCAAACAGAAAATTAATAAGGAAACACAAGCTTTAAATGACACAATAGACTTGATAGATTTAATTGATATTTATAGGACATTCCATCCAAAAACAGCAGATTACACTTTCTTCCTAAGTGCACATGGAACATTCTCCAGGATATATCACATCTTGGGTCACAAATCAAGCCTCAGTAAATTTAAGAGAATTGAAATCATATCAAGCATCTTTTCTGACCACAATGCTATGAGATTAGAAATCAATTACAGGGAAAAAAACATAAAAAACACAGACACATGGAGGCTAAACAATACATTACTAAATAACCAAGAGATCACTGAAGAAATCAAAGAGGAAATCAAAAAATACCTAGAGACAAATGACAATGAAAACATGATGATCCAAAACCTATGGGGTGCAGCAAAAGCAGTTCTAAGAGGGAAGTTTATAGCTACCTACCTCAAGAAACAAGAAAAATCTCAAATAAACAATCTAACTTTACACCTAAAGGAACTAGAGAAAGAAGAACAAAGAAAGCCCAAAGTTAGCAGAAGGAAAGAAATCATAAAGATCAGAGCAGAAATAAATGAAATAGAAACAAAGAAAACAATAGCAAAGATCAATAAAACTAAAAGCTGGTTCTTTGAGAAGATAAACAAAATTGATAAAACATTAGCCAGACTCATCAAGAAAAAGAGGGAGAGGACTCAAATCAATAAAATTAGAAGTGAAAAAGGAGAAGTTACAACAGACACCGCAGAAATACAAAGCATCCTAAGAGACTACTGCAAGTAACTCTATGCCAATAAAATGGACAACCTGGAAGAAATGGACAAATTCTTAGAAAGGTATAACCTTCCAAGACTGACCCAGGAAGAAACAAAAAATATGAACAGACCAATCACAAGTAATGAAATTGAAACTGTGATTTAAAATCTTCTGACAAACAAAAGCCCAGGACCAGATGGCTTTACCAGCGGTCTTGATGGCCTAGATGTTTGCCTCCTCTTGGAACTTTCCAGTATTTTTCTTATAGCGCATCTGCTTGTTGCCAAACCAGTTGGGGACCTGAGAGGCAGTGATTCCGCACTTCTTGGCAAGCTCCTCCTTAGCCTCGTCACTAGGATATGAGTTACTCAGGTGGGAGTAGAAATACTCATTCGGGACCTCAGTGGCCTGTTTGCTGAAGTTACGGTTTTTTCGTCTGGTATCCAGGAACCGGAATGCAGGATCATGGCCGCCTTGCAGGGGCTCTGCTTGAGTTGCCTCTGGATGGCGCTGAACTTCCGGCGGATGACGCTCACCATGTGCTCCGTCTCCTTGGGTGCTACGAACTGCGTGTGGCTTTGCTCCCTCAGCAGTTTCACGACGTGGGCTGTGAACTTGCTTCGTGCCTTCTCATACTTCTCCAGCTCCGAGTGGTACATGTGGCGGACCTGGGCAAGTTTGCTGTGATATTCCAAGTGTTCGATGGGGTTGTTAGGGGACACACCTCCCCAGGAGGCTGCAGTGGTGGCAGCTGCTGACCCTGAGCCATCCCCTTTCTCGGGGTCAGCCACACCCTCTGCCAGAAGCATGGTGTCCAAGTGCATCAGCTGTAGGTCCACAGGCTCTTCCTCTTGGGAGTTTCGAATGCTGAGGGCGGTTTTCTCCTCTATTTCACGAAGGACGTTAATGAGAGCAGGCTTCATTTGGTGGCAGTTTAGGACGTGTTTCTTGGCCTGGGCCTCGCTCGTCCAGGCTCTGGTCGGTGATGGTCCCTACCTGCTGCAGAATGTCCCCGCAACCTCCCCACACCCTGCTACCCCCACCAGGGTCTCCGCCGCGCAGAGGTTCGCCAGGGCCCCCAGGCTCCCCACCCACCAATCCAAGCCCCCGCCCCTGACCCCACCTGGTTACTTCCCTCCCAAACTCGCTGGGTGTGCTGCTTCCTCCGTCCCAATCCCCGCCCATCTCCCCCGCTCCCAGCTCTCCCCGGGGTTCATCCTGGCCCTGAAGGGAGATCTGGGGTACCGCTGGGCACCCCACAGGAGACCCCGGCCCCCGGCTGCGGAGAAAATGGAGTCAGAGAGAGAAAGGACGCCCAAGCGCAGCTGTGTGTGGACTGGGCATTTTTAATGAGGACGTTTTTTGAAACCTTGGAAATTACTGGGAAAGCTTTGAGGACCAACCTGAAATTTCAGGTCAGAGAATATAGTGGGAAAGAAGAATAAAGCTGCTTTCTTTGTATCCTATCAAATCCACCTCATTTCTTATACTTGTTCTATTTTATTTTTAGCATTAATTTCTATATAAAATCCAAGAAGTCTCATTTTATTCATACAAAGTATATATCCTTTAAGATGGGTTTTATCACTCACTCCAAACCCATCACCAATAATAAACCCAAAACAGATGACAGGGAAGATGTTCTCTACCTCAATTTCAGATCTAACAACCACCTAGTCACCTACATAAAACATCTAGGAGACAGGGCTGCCTCTTTCCTCTCCTTCATTCTTTACATCTAGCCAGTCAACAAATGTGGTTAGGTATCTACAATCTGTACCTTTCATCTTATTCCTATTACAATTCAGTATCTCAAAATTTCTCCCATGAATCTCTGCAGTCAACCCTAAAACTTTCTTGATCAATTTCACTCTTTCCAGGGCCTTGCAAATCATCTCTCTAAATCATAAATCAAAAATGTCTTTCCTCTTTGTAAAGAATATTGATGACTGGTAGAGGGGCCACACCATTCTTCTGTTTCCACAGGAAATTAGAACATTTTGTGAGTGAAAGGGGCACAGTTACTAATGGTTCTGGAACAATAGGCAGACTAGGATGTCCAAGACAAACTACCATGTTTGGGCACTACACCCATTAACTAGAAAATAAAAGCTATTACATATAATGTGACAAGTAAGTTCCTCGGTTAGTTAACTCTTGCCTACTTCTCCAGCAAGGTCTCTCACCACTCCCTTAATTTACATTCTTAAACCAGAATGGTCTACTCTGCTGTCCAGATGAATACTACTTACTCTTTAAGGTTAAGTTCAGATGCCATTCCCTCTAGGGAACTTCTTATCTCTTCAGTCTGGTTTAGCTGCCTCTACCAGGAACTTTCACATTCCCTGTGCATGTGGCTCTAACTTTAGTTTAAAGAGGGTTTATTGTTTTCCTTTTTAATATGCATTTTTTGAAGTTTATAAAATGATATTTAAAATTTTATTACCTATTATTTTAAATTTTTATTTATTACACAGAAAAGTTGGAAAAATTTCTTAACATCTAATCTCATTAGTTTGTTTATTTCTAAAATGGGTATAATAAGAGTATGTACATCTTAAAGTTGTGAGCTTGTAATATATGTAAATGGATTTGTATACCACTTTGAACTGTTGTTATTTAATAATATCTGTAATTATCTCAATCATTATTGAAAGCATTATTATTACTATAAAATAAAATTTACATAAATTTGCAAGATCAGACCTACTCAGTGTTGCAGGGGACTAAATTTTTCGCTCTACCTCAATTTTATTGAGGAACACTGGGAAAAATTCATCAGAAAATCAAAAACTAAAGTTCAAAGGAAATCCTTATTTTCTTTTCAATGACTTTCATGTGGATAATATATGGTTTGATCAGCATATATTTTACTTAAAAAATGTACCTCTTAAGTTCCATCCGTGAAACAGTGTGGAGATTTTAAAACATGTCCCTGAATGCCTCCCATTAAAAGTGAGGTCTTTTTCTCCTCTCCTTGAATCTCTCGATTGCCCTGGGTCTGCTTTGATCAATATGGTACAGTGGCAGTGACCCTATGTAATTTCTGAGGCTAAGTGACAAATGTCCATGCACCTGCTGTTTTGTTTGTGAGAACACCTGTTCTTGTTGCAAGTAAGAAGTTTGACTACCTCAAGATAGCCATAGTGAGAGAAGCCCAGGGCACATGGAGAGGCTCCATGAAGGCTGCCAATAGGCCCAGCTGTGCGCAGCCTTTCAATCTTCCCAGTCCAAGCCTCAGAAATGTGAGTTTAAAAACCTCCCCATGATTCTAGCCTTCAGTCATTTGAATCTCCCCAGCTGAGGTCTCAGACATCATATGGCAAAGACAGGCCACTCTCACTGTATCTTGTCCAAACCCCTGACGCACAGAATCCATGAGCATAATTAGTTGTCTTTTATGACACTAAATTTTGGAGTGATTTGCACATGGCAATAGACAACTGGAACAAATAGTTTTCAAATAAACATGATAACTGATTTCAAGGATTTTTCCTCTTACTGGGATATTTTCCATTTATTGTGTGCTTTTCCAGTTTAGTGTTGTAGTGTAGTGAGAACCAATCAGATATATGTTAGTAGAGTCTCTGTAATGCTAAATATAAAACTTAAATTCATAGGATTTGGGGGTTAAAATGATGTCACTATAGCAGCTTAAAATGAAAATTATCGGTTTCAATCATATAACTCATATTTAGTTAATGCATTATAGTTTACAATACACCACCATGTTTCCCCCATTTAATCTTTTTATTCCTGTTAAGCTTGAATTATAATGTTCATTTCACAAGTGAAAACACTGAGGATCTCAGAAAATACATAATGGACCTAGGGTGTATGGTAGAAGCCATACCCTATGTCAGGATTTAAACTCAGGGCTTCTGCTTCCAAATCTCACTTTTCTTTTACTTCTCACTTTTTTTAATTGGTGAAACTATGCAAAATGACTGAAAGTTTCCTGCTTCCTAAGTGATCTCTTTATTTCTAATTTTGCATATTAAGAAATTACAGTTCCACAGATCAGCCAGAAGGATCTTTCTAAAGGTACTTTTTTGTATCCTCCCCTGCTTAAAATCTTCTCTAGTCCTCCTATTACACGTGATATAAAAGGCCCTTCACAATCTTTCTCCCACTTCCCTTTTAATCCCAACATTAACATTACTAGCGTGTAGTTCATCTTTCATTTGATGCTTTTGGTGAAAGAGAAACCCCTCATTCACTTAGAAATTTCATTGATTCATTCATCTGTCCCTTCACTCCACACATATTTGGTGCATGCCTTCTGTTTATGCCAGGCCCTGGGGATACCAAACATTTGTCATGTTTCTTGCCCTCAGAGTCTTTCAGTCTTTAGTACAAGAAAAGCAAACACAAGTTTACTACAACCTGTAGGCCTTCATATTTGTGATGCAAAGAAAGACGAGGTAATTGAAATATTAAAGAGGACACCCAACACAGCCTGGGTTGATGGGGAAGGGGCGATACCGAGAAGGTTTCCTAATAGAGATGATTCAGGCAGAATGGAGCAATACACCACGTTCTAAGACAGGGAGATGGGGAGAAAGAAACTTGTATGTGGTATTAGAGCTCCATGATTGAGTTAGGGGAAAGAAAGTTTCAAGGTAGGAGTCTGATGACCCATGAGACTGAGACAGAAAGAATGCTAGAGAAGTAGATAGAAGCCAAATCAGTGAGGGGTTTTACACTTAGCTGCCACTCGTGTGCAACAAATAAATTAACATCATTATGATGAAGTATTTTGTCATACTGAGGATAAATTTTCACACTGATTACGTCTTCTTTCTGGGCCTTAACGTGTTCCTCTGGAAAGTCTGAGAGCTGGACTGCAGTGGTTTTACATTTTTTATCTCAGAGAATTACTTCTGCACATGGGAATACAACAAATAAAAATAGAGCTGGTATGGCTGAACCTAGCATAAGAAATCCAGACCATCTTCCTCCATCATACCCACTGGAATAGCCCTAAAGAATATCTTCATCCTCCCTGTTTTAGTAATCCAAAAAGTACGCTTTTCAATCTATTGAACTAGATGATCTCTAGTCTCTAATTTACTTTGAATGTTACTGTACTAAGGTTCTGTTTTTCTCAGTCATTTTTCTTTCTACTAAAAATGTGATGGTGTTTCACAATTCCGTATGTAAACTTTATAAGTTCCTAACTGACTGGGAAAACAAAGTCAGTTAAACAGTGGCACCAAACACTGTGATAAGAGAAAACTCAACTATTTCAATTGGCCTTGCTGCATAGAACCACTATAGAATTTAGAAGCTAAAACAACAATAATTAGCTACTTCTCTCAATTCTATTTGTTGACTGGACAGTTCACCTGCATATTTCACCTGAGCTTACTCAGCTCCCAGGATTCAGCTAGGGGTCAGTGAGGCTAGAAGACCCAAGAGACCTCATTCACATGTCCGCCGGTTGCTGTGGGCTGTCACTGGGGGCCTCTTCTCCACCTGCCTCTCCTCCTCCATAAGCTAGTCTAGCTTCTTTGCATGGCGACCTCAGGACCACATTCCAAGGTCTCTTAAAACCTAGCCTCAAAAGTCAAATACCATCATTTACACCAGAGTGGTCAGAGCAAGTTACAAGGCCAGCCCAGATTCAAGACTCTACCTTTTTATGGAAGTCACATCACAAAGAGGTACATATACATACCTGTGACTTCCATAAAAAGGAATATATATACACAGATATATACTAATTATATATATATAGTATATATATACATATAATAATTTTTATATATATAGTAATTTTATCATCTATATTTTATATCTACCGCATAGGCATTCTTGTATGTCAACAGTTCCCAGAAAGTGATCGCCCCTACTTTCCTATCTCAAAACAACACTGGTAACCCATACTTCAAAAATTTCAGTAGCTTATTATAATATAGTTGTCCTCTTTGATTTGTATATTGGAACATAGTGCACTACTGCATGTCTTTGCAG